AGTCTGCAACTTCCTTGCTTCCAGATCAGACCTCATTGCAGTTCGTGTACCGGACGCACCCTAGCACTTGGACTTTGACACTTGAACTATTACTACGCTTCTTGGACTTCTACCTATCGCAGCTGCTGAAGACCGCTTCTACCACCTACTCCAAAAGACCTGATCAAGACCGCTGCAGACCCCCTTTCAAGACACTTGGACACTTTGTTCCTACATGAGATTCTACTTCTGACTCCTTCGGACACACCAGCCTTCGCATCCTGAACAAACATTTTCATTTTTATTTTTCCTGACTTTGACAACCCTGTAGAACATCATTAGCAGATCCCTGTTTCCCTAACCATTGTTCCCCGTACCCACTAGAACATCAATAGACATCCCCTGTTCCCCTGACCATTGTTTCCCTTACCCACTAGAACATCAATAGACATCCCCTGTTCCCCTGACCATTGTTTCCCTTACCCACTACAACATCAATAGAAATACCTTGTTTTCCTGAACACCGTTTCCCTTACCCAGTAGAACATCAATAGACATCCCCTGTTCACTGTTCCCTAAACTCTGTTCCCCCTTAACCTATAGCGAACCATGCAGTCCCCTTAGTTCATCAGTAGGACTACCCTGTTCCTTGAAACCCCCCCTAGTTCATCAGTAGGACAACTCTGTTCACCAGTACCAAACCTTGTTCCCTCTTACTCCCACAGCCCATGCCACCCACATTATACCCCTCTTCCCTTTCGACTTGTTAACCAGTGATCGGCCCCGTCCCGTCCTTCACAGATTTCAGCATTGCTTCATGATTTTTGGCAGCCGGGACGTTGCCTTCTAGAGGGAGGGGATAGTGTTACGGACTTCGCCAGGGCTCGATCCCTGGTCTATCTTTTTGCTGTTTCAGCTGCATCCCGTTTTCGGCCTGGCGCCCTTTTTCCAAACTCCTCCTTTGGTACCGTAGGATTTCGGACAACAGGCGCCATACCGCAATTCGGGCACCATTTCAAATACTGCATTTTTCAGTTCTGCCCTCGGGGGCCTTTGCAGAAATGCCCCTGGTACCGTACGTGTCACCGGTACTTATATCGGCTCCCCATACGGTACGGGACTGGTCTCGTACCAGTTCCCTGCTGCTGTACTCGTACTCAGTGTGACTTGCTGTTTCGGCATTCGGAATCCAAGACTTCGACTTTGTGCCTTGCCACTCTGTCTGCGTTCGATCCTCAGTCCGAGTTTGTCGTGTCGAGTAAGTGAGTGTGTGTGTGTGCTCGCACTCTCTCCCTCTCTCTCCTCTCCCTCGGCTCACCCTCAGCCTCACGCTCATTACAACGAACCTCCTTCTTGTTGACTTACGAATCCCTACATGTTCAGGATGCCAGCGAGGTTCCTCTACCCTACTCATCGTTGAAAATGCGGATCTAGGAGTTCAACGTGCATGCGAGCCGGTGGGTGATTTGACTTACGACGCATAGGAAACCTCAAAGGCTGGGGCCTTCAGCAGGTGTGTTGTCCGCCAATCGCCACTTGTCGTAAGAGGCTTGAGTGTGAGCGTGCCCGCTGGGGACAACAGACGGGGGCTCGGCCAAGGCATAGGCGGGCATCAGGCGGGGACCCTCAACGGTACAGGCCGCGACGGTTGTTCACTTGGAACCCCTCATCCACCTACGTCTTCAAACTTCCCATTTGAATATTTGCTACTATCATCGGTAGCCACATCAGGCTCTGTCCATGACGGCCCACTCTAAGCTTTGCAGCAGGTCGCGCCACGATCGACTGACTGTGTGAGGAGTGGCTGTTGAGAGGCCCGAGGCAGTAGTGAACCCCGCCTGAGCAGAACGGGATGGGGTGGCTGTGACAGGAGCCGCACCATGCAAATCGTTTGTTGAATTTGGGTATAGGGGCGAAAGGCAGGTCGGACCGCGCTCAGAGTCTCGAGATACAGGAGGGAGACTGACTCAACTCTCAAGAGAGGGCCTTATTATCTGGATCCACCTGAGGGCCCCGCATTGGCAGCCAAGGATCGCTTTAAAGTAGCCAGACTGCAGTCAAACCGTAAAATAATGACATTCCGATGAGCCTCCAGATCGCAACAATATCCCCTTTTGCCAAATCAGATCACTCAGCTACTTTGAGGAGTTCCGCACCCCGAAACGCATGGGCCACCGCTCCAGGCACGAGTCGCGGATCAAGGCTACGGTCTCTTCCCTTTCCATAGTGGAGCAAATACTGTGATATGGCAGGCCATGCAAGCGCAGCTCACTAGTCAACAGGCAAGTTCTGTCGTCCCACAGTTGGAATCCCATTACTCCGTATGAAAAGGTGGCTGCGCCCCAGCTGGCTGGATCAGGCGGCGGCCAATCTCTATCATGCCGCTCGCCTGCGGCTAGCTGTCCTGTATAACGAGCAGCTCCCCAGCTAATCAGTTACTCCTGTCTCTTTGCAGCTGCCCTTCTTGCTAGTCCACATACTATTTTGCCCTCACCTTCCCTTGTCTTCGTCCTCCTTCCCTCTGGTGCACACGGTCAGCCTCTTCGGTCAGGTGGGCATGCCTCGTTCTCTGCACGTTTTTCCTGCTTCCGTTCTTGCTCCAGCTCCAACGTATCTGGTTGCCATTCGAACCAAACCCGGATGTCCGCCCCCCCCGACTAGCTCATCATGGCGGGATGGACGTGCACCAGCCAACAGGTAAGTCTCTGATCCCGTGGCTAACTTTACAATTCTCTCATCCTTAGGATGAGCATAATCGAATGAACCTTCTGCTGGAGTGTGGGCGGGCGCACCTGCTCTTTCTCCGCTCGGCTTGTGCTCACGCCGGGCTCCTCGATCATGTAGGCCAAGATCGAGTCTCCTCCGTGGAGGAGACCAGGTACGTGCCTCCCCTTTCGCTCGCCTCTACCTCGTAACTACCCTCCTTTTACCATGTGAACCTGGCCCTGCACATCGGTCAGGTTAAGGTGTAGTTTGGCACTGTAGGTCGACTCCTGGCGATTGCGGCACTACCGGTCATCAAGGTAAGTGCTTTCTTCGCTCTCTCTCTCTCTCTCTCTCTCTCTCTCTCTCTCTCTCTATGTGTGCATTCCGCTTGCCGGGCCAGCTATCTGTCATTCGACCGAACACATTCTCCCGCTTCTTTCATCCCGCAATGGCTCCGCGCACAACTCTTCTCTCCTAGCGCCCATTCTATCACCTGTTTTCTCTCATCTATGTTCATATGCCTGATACAGACTATCGCCAGGTAAATATCCGATCTCACACAGGTCCTCAAATTCAGAATGAATCTCCCGCTTGAATGCGGCCAGATACATTCTGTTCTGCAACACGCATCCCTTTCAAACACATACCGGTCATATCGCACATCCTACCTCGACTCTACCATTGCCACCTACCCTGCCTCAGCTCAGAACCCCACAATCCTCTCTTCCCTCAATTCTTTCGAAGATCGAACTAACATACTAATTCCATGTTCTTTCCATATCCCGCTTCCCTCGATGCCTGTCGCGCAACACAATTTTTTTATAGCACATAAACTAACCCCCTTCTTCTAAATCTAACCTCGGATGCGGCGTCGCCAACCCCGAAAACCCGCGATTAGCATCTCAGATCGCAGTAACCGGTCAAGAAATGACCGATTTATTACAAGTTTGTTCCTCTCTTTTTCTCCCTCCGCCATATCTCCGCGCAACGCTTTTCTCCTCTAACTCCCTTTTTCCTAACCTTCTTCTAATTCTAACTTTATATCCAAAAACTATGGACTAGCACTTCCTCTTGCAGAAAAATATCGAGAAACGACTAGGATATTCTTTCTCCCTTCCGCCTCCGTTATCTTCGTTCCCTCCATACTTACCTCCAGATGTACCTGGCACGATACGCCGACCAAGTTCAGTTCCTCTTCATTGGCCACATCCTTTCCTTTGGCACTTTTCTTCCCCTTCCCTAACTCGCCTCACTATCTGTCCGTTGGTACCTCAGAGCAGCGGCCCCCTCACTTCTTCTGCTTTCGCTCATTCTTGTCTATCCCTACCATCGTCCGCTCCCATTCTTCTGCATGTGCCTGATGGGGCCCTGTCTGGCCGCCTTTCTTTGCTGCCCTCCCGCTTTCTTCCTACGCTGCCTTGGTGCTTCGCCCTTCCCTTCTGTGTACGCACCCGGCGCTGATGCCCGTCCCGGCTCATTCCTCCCTTCAGCACCTCACTCCGTCTCACATCCTCGCCTTCCTCTCTTCGCCCAAGTCCGCCCACCGTAGAGCGAGCTCTCCGTCCCTCCACCGTACACACCTGGCGCCCATCCCTGCCAAAGTTCACTTTCCCTCGCTGCCCGTAGCTCGTCACTACCTGCCCACCCGCTCGGCTGCGAACAGCGCCCTCGATATCGCAAGATAACCACACTCTCCTGTCAACGGTGCGCACGAACATACTACTGACCGCCTCGGCCCACAGCCGGATGCCACAGCTCACCCAAAATGCACCGAAAGCCCTGTGCACCGCCTCATTTCTGCACCCACAACACACCCGCCACGTTGGGACAGGCCGAAAGCCTCCACCTGTGCACGCGGGCCCAAGGGGAACATCCCTCCCCTTCTTCTCTGCCTGGACACGCCCAGTTGCCGCGGGCACCCCCCATAGAAGTCGGCGCGGGCGA